AGCCCACCCTGCCTCCTGTTCTGTGGGGACACAAGGCTCCTCCTAGACAAGTTCGCCCAGCCCAGGAGAGAGCCGGGTACAGCACAGGTGTGTCAATGTCCACCATCCTGTACGGAACCAAAGGAGAGATCTTAACAGGTTCGGTCTCGTGGGTTGGACTGAGTGCCCTACGAACACCTGCGGGGCCCTAACCCGCAGGACTGCAGAGTGTTCGTGTGTGGAAACAGTCTTTACAGAGGGCATCGAGCTCCAATGAGTGTATGAGTGGACTCAAATCCATGAAGACGGGACTCCTTCCAGGAAGGGGAAATCCGGGCACAGGCAGACCTGCTCAGAGCAAAGACAATGTGAGGACACACAGGGAAAGAGCATATGACCACCAGGACGGGGACAGCGTGGAACATCTATGAGCCAGTCACCAAGGAGTACCAGCAAGTCACCGGAAGCCAGGATAGAGGCCTGGGGCTGGCTCCCTCTCTGCCTTTCGAGGTGCCAATCTGCTGACACCCTGATCTCAGGCCTGTGGCCTCCAGAACCGGGAGACAAGCATTTTCTGTTACTACAAGCCACCCACCTGTGGCGTGTGTCATGGCAAACTGGCTGCGGCCGGCCTGCAGCAAACCTTAGCATCTGACTTCGTGGGTGTGACCGCTACAGTCCTGCTGGGCTCCGAGGGGCCTGTGTTTGGTTGAACGCTTGTTGTTGACCGTCCTGAAATTCTCAGCAACTTACAAACAAGGGGCTGCTGTTTTCATTTTGCCTGGGGCCCGCTAAGTCATAGCTGGTCTTGTTTTCAGACATCCCTGGCAAAGCTGTCTCTCTGGTCACCAGGGCCCAGCACAGCACCAGGCTGTGAACTTGGCCAGCGCCATCGCCAGCATGGTCAGGGGCAGAGGCCAGGCTCTGCCTTGGCCTCCAGCTGCCTCACTACCTGGTCAGGATGGGGTTCCCCCCGAAGGCCCTAAATCAGGATTCCCACATCCTCCCAAGTTAAGCCCACACCCGGCTAAACCTTAGAACGTGCCAAGTGGGTGGTCCCCAGAGCCAAGAGCCTTGGCCACGCCTCCTAGACCCCCTGCCCTCCGCGCTAGGATCTTTTCTCTACTTTGTGCTCTTTATTCCCCACCCCCAGGTTTCAAGACGCCCCTGGAGCTCGGCGCTACCTGCCTGCATAGAACACTCCATCAGCACCTCCTGGGAGCCCCCGGTGGGGTGTAAGAATTGGTTGCTATTTAATTACTCTTTCAAAACCAAACAAAAGGCTGCCCGGCTGCTCAGCTTTATGGCAGCCTCTGGAGCGGGCAGGGGCTCCTGTCTTGTCTCCCACACCCAGCCGAGGTGAGCGGGCTCCTCTCCCTTGACCTGGGCAGAGGGAGTCCAGGGAAGGACGGGAAGGCAGTAGAGGAGAGCAGGGGCCAGCTCTCTGGCTGCCAAGGCCCTGGCAAAGGCAGCGTGGTGGATAATCGCGTTAACTCCCTGCTACAAAGCCAGGGCGAGATGGAGAGATAAGCGAGAGCCGGGATAATCGAGGCCCACAGAGAATCACCAAAGCTGACTCTGCTCCTGAGTTCCAGGGCAGCACCCGCTCACCCACGCTGGCTGGTGAGAGCTCCCTGTCCCAGCGTCTGCACCTGGTGACCCAGTTCAGTGACTGCATCGGAAAGACTGAGGGACAGGATGAAGGGGCAGAACAGAGTGACCCTGGTGGTGGCGGTGCCCCTGCGACCAGCCCCAGGCCCTAGGAAGGCGGGCACCTCTTGCAGACAGTTGTGACAACCCGCCCCGCCTACCTTCCTTCCCTCACTGCACCCAGCCAACTTCCCCAGGCGCCCGTGAAGACTCCAGCAGGCAATGCCTCCTCTGGGCGCCTGCCCCATGCCACCATCGCCACACTAACCCTATCCGTGCTGTCGCTCTCCTCCTCCTCAAAGATGTTACCTGGATCGCCGGTTTCCTCCCTCCCTCCCTGACCAGGTCCCTTCAGCCCAGAGCCTTTTTGATTTCATGTTTGGCCTGTGTCTCACACAGGGCCTGGCGCAGAGGGAGAGGTGAGGGTCAGATCTTTCAGGGAGGGCAGCCCTCCAGGGAGGCCACAGAGGGAAAAGGGACACCAAGGAGGAGGAGCAGGTGAGGGGTGGCCGTGGCTGCATCCGGCAGTTACTGTCGATCTGATGAGCGCGTCAGGTGTCAGGCAAATGGGTAGAGACAGGGGTAAACAGATTGATAAAGCAGAGAAGGATCCGGGGCCCGGTGTAGACACAAGCTCAAACTCCTCTTGGCACTGGTGGGAGACCTGCAGACCGCAGGCGGCCAGGTAGATTTGCCCTCTGCCAGGCCTGGATTTCAGCAGTTGGCACCATGTAAGTCCCCTGGGGGTAGCGGTCAGATAGTGACACTTACGGAGTAACCCCTGGAGCTGTTCTGGGCTAGTCCTACCACAGAGTCTGTGCTGGCAACCAAGGGAAGGAACACGCTTCGCAAATGTACTCCGACCCCCCGGAAGTGCTCAGACCAGCAGGAAACCACGGGCTGCTTGCTGGCAGGGGCTGGAAGAAACCCCGAAGAATTTCAAGACACGGAGCTAAGCCCGGGGGAAGGGCCGGGCCGTGGGGACCACCACGGGCGCGTTTGCACAGGATCTGGAAATGCTCAGCTTGCTTCACTGCCGAGGTCATGCCTGGGAACTTGGGAAACAGTAAGGAAGGAGAGACACGCCACCTCCCACCCCTTTTCCAGGACAAATGTAGTTTTATCTGCGTGCACCGCCTCCCAGCTCTGGCCAGCTGTGGCTTTTTGCAGAGAGGAGAGGAGAGGCCACCCCGCAACCCCATCCTCTGTCCCACAGGACCCTGGCTGAGCAGGGCACAGCAGCTCTTGAAGGTCTGGAGCCCCAGCTGGTCTCTGGGCGCATTCTCACAAGGCTGGTGCACAGGCCACACTTGGACAAGTGGCTGGAATCCTCATGGGGGGCTCCGGGACTGTGAGAAGGTGCAGGGGAGCTTCAAGGCTGGCTGGGAAAAAAAGCAGTGCACTGCCTCTATGAGGGTCTCACGCGACAGCCCCTTCCCATCCGTTCACTCATTCACTCACTAGGTGGGTCCAACAGTGAGGCAAGCTTCTGGGGACCAAGGGAAGAGTAAAACAGTCTGCCCATGAGGTGTGCTCATATAAAAGCAGAGATAAACAACCCAAGCAGTGATTACGACTGGGCGTGCTAGAGCCACCATGGATTCCCACAGTAGCCCAGGGGGTTCCCAGGGACCCAGTCTCCCTGTCCCCACCCAGACGCTGGAGGGTGGGGGCCCTGAAGGTGTCAGAGCAAGGCCTCCCTGAAGATATTCCACAGTGGCGTCTCTTCCATCTGCCCCAAAAGCCTTGGAGAGAGGATTTCTACACACAGTTCCCCCAGGTGGAGAGTTTGCCCCGCATGAGTCTCTGCCGGCTAGACCACACTGACCCTCTTTAGGCCAATTCCCCAAGGCCTGTGGGGATGCAAAAGCTCTTCGTGAGCTGGAAAACGTTGGGTGAAGTTGGGAGCTTTCACGCAGAGGTGGTCATCTTGCACAGAATGTGCCTCCCCCGTCTGACTGGGAACACCACATATCAGGGGCCCCACCTCCTTCATCTGACTGGAGGCTCCTATTGTAATTCTGTGGTCCCAGAAGTTCTAGATCCAGAGGGTGACAGACCATTCACCTGAAGTACTGCAGCTGGGCTGACACTCCTGGACACTGTAAAAAATCCTCTCTGTACTTGACATCTGAGACTACACTTTTTAACCATTTATAGCCGGGCATGGTGGCGCATGCCTGTAATCCCAGCACTCCGGAAGCTGAGGCAGGAGGATTGCTGTAAGTTTGAGACCAGCCTGGGCTACATAATTAAGTTCAAGGCCAGTTTGAACTGCATAGGGAAACTCTGTCTCAAAAGAAAGAAAGGAAGGAAGAAAGAAAGAAAGAAAGAAAGAAAAAAGGAAAAAAAGAAGGAAGGAAGGAAGGATGAAAGAAAGAAGAAAAAGAAAGACAGGAAAGAAAGAAAGAAAGAAAGAAAGAAAGAAAGAAAGAAAGAAAGAAAGAAAGACATATTAAGCCCTTTACTATATATATCATCTAGTGTGTGTGGTACTTCAGTCTAACTTGACACCAAAGTGTAGGAGACTTTACAAGGTCTGTTTTTATGGTGTACAATACGATGTTTTGATCTATGCATACATTGTAGGATGGCTCAATCAAGGTAATTCCCCTGTGCATTACCTTGCAGACTTATTGTATGTGTGGGAAGATATTTAAAAGCTATTCTCTTAGCAGTTTTCCAAGATACAATACACTGTTGTTGACTGTATTCACAGTGTTGTGCTGTAACAAGATCTTATCTCAAAGTTAGAAAAAAAAAAAAAAAAGGTAGGGTTTTGGTTCTCAAAGTTGGCCTGGGAAACTTTAAAAATATCAGTGTTCAAGCCGGATGTGGTGGCACATGCCTGTAACACCAGCGCTCGGGAGGCTGAGGCAGGAGGTTCGCTGTGAGTTTAAGGATAGCCTGGGCTACACAGTGAGTTCAAGGCCAGTCTGAACTAGAGAGCAAGACCCCATCTCAAAAAAAGAAAGAAAGGAAGGAAGGAAGGAAGGAAG